CCTATGTATTGTTTGTCCTGTTGTCACTACATGATCTATACCAGGGAGTAAGGAATAGAAGGGAGATATAACTGACGCGGTTCGCCCTACCAAATGATTATACATGCTTTGCAGACGGTACTCCATTTTATATCGAGCTGTTTGGTTTCTTTAGTAGGGCCCCACAGGAAAAATATGTATTGGCTCAATTTTCTTTGACCAGTTTCGCCAATACATATTTTTCCTGTTTTTACTCGATATAAAATGGAGTACCGTCTGCAAAGCATGTATAATCATATGGTAGGGCGAACCGCGTCAGTTGTATCTCCCTTCTATTCCTTACTCCCTGATCTATACCTATTACACTAATTACACCGATTCCCTTCTGTCCCTGAACTCTGTACTTATTACAAAGACGACAGATTACACCCCTTGGATGGTACCCACATGGAGCTTACGAAAGGTGTAAAAAAGTTATTTTTTTTTCTCCCCAAATTCTGAATATTTGACCATAGAAGGAAACAAATAAATTGTCAATTATCGTTTTAACCATAGATTTCCAATTTAAATCCCCTTAAAAATTTACAGACCCAGCAATCCAAATTACGTATTTTAGCTTCAAATAAGTGTTAATATCTAATTTTTGTAAAGAAAATATTTTATAATCCTTCTCTATTTTATTCCAGACATACAACTACAAGAAGGCTCTATATAGCGTGATTGCCTAAAACTTTTTATATAAATTATTTGTTAAATAGTTAAAATGTCTGAGAACAAATAATTGCATTTTCCAAAAACAAAAATTTAAAAACATTGTTGTTTGAAAGAATTTAATTGTGTAAAAAAGACCAAAAATGGCGGGGAAAACAGTGAATTGGCCACTTAGGAAAATTATTTTAAAAAATGTAAAATTTCGTATTTGAGCTAGTTTTTCCCCAATACTTCCTAATAAATGTGTCTGCACACAACTGGGATTTTTATTAGGGGCACCATGAAGCCTAGAAATTGCATTTACTCCTATTAAAATTGCAAAGTATATAAAATAATCCCACAAAAAACGATAATATAACATAACCCCTGGGAAATTTTTGGTTGGCGGTAAAGAATTATTTTGCGCATATTTTGCTGTATAACCAAGCCTATCTTACCACTCAAAGATGTTCTTAATAGCTAGAATATCCAATTTCTAATGTTTTCTCATAAAATGTTTTTTAATAAATGTTGAGCTACATTGCAAACTTGGAAAGAATTCCCAAAAAGTGAGCGAAATAACACGCATCACGAATTCAAATCTTGGACGGGTTTTGGAACGTAAATTAACTTTGGAAACAATCCATAATTTGGAAATATTCAATAATTCAGAACAAAACACACTTTTATAATTTACAGAATAGCATGAATCACTGAAAATATTTTTATCATCTATAATTTGTTTGCAAATTATACTTTTTAATACAGAGAGATTTCAAGTTTCCTCCGTTTTCAAAAAAAAATTCCTGCATTTTCTGTTCAACTTAATTGCAAGAACAATTTAATATTAATATTAGAATTTTTAAATGTTAGAAGCATAGATAAAGATAGATTGCGCATAAGACGACATTTTTCATCTTGAAAGATATAAATGTACAGAGATGTTTTAAAGATATTCCTATTATATAGATTAACTAGGTCGGTTGTGAACATTGGCAGTACTTATGTCATTGAGTACTTGTGGTGTACATGAGTTCTGTAGAGAGAAATTTATGTTAGTTTAGTCCTTCTCATGTCCTTCTTCAGTTCTCGTCAATATGATATATTGCTCAGTGAAATATTGTTGTTCAAATAGTTCCATTCCCGGAGTTTTTTTACATTCTATTAAAACACCAAACCACCCCACATATCATTGAAGTACACTTTGACCCCTAGAAGTATGAGTTCGCGAACTGTACAATTCTTGGTGATTTTGCGTACATAAGCTATCTATGCTTATTTATTTATCTATGGTTTTAAGTCGTTATATTTTGAAATATCAGAACAGAATGAATCATTTACATTTTTATTGTTTCATTATTTAGATTCTACTGAAATGCGAAAAACTTGTTTTGTTACCAAATTGTGTAATGCTTGTAAGTATTATTGACGACCAAAATTAGAGGCTGCATTCAAAATTTCAGGCTAATTTACCTCAATTCTTAGGACCAAACACAGACATGTACAAAATTTGGTGTCAGAAAGTGTCAAAGTTCACTCCCCCCCCCCTTTCAATATAAAAATTATGAATAACATGACATATAATTACAGAAACAAACCTGTGTAATTCCAGATGTAAGAAAATAAGTATTAATGGTGCTTTTTACATTAAAGTATGGTATCTTTTTATTCCAGAGGCTTGGCAATCCTGGCGCATGCAGTTAAACATATACACTTTCTGGGTCTCTGGGTTACCCTTGATTTCGTAGACGACTTCACGAGTCTCTTGAACAATTGCTCCTCTTATATGCCAAACCATCAGGACTATATTGAAGGTGAATTTATAAGTTTCCTTAGGTCCTCGACGTCAATTAAGGCTCATCCTCTGTTGGTAATCTAAATGTTTAGGTTGTTTTTAGATATTCTTTGTTGTTAGAACCGGCAAATAGTTTAGTTTATTAAATCACTTATTGAGTGAAACTGGTCTATTTATACTTCACATTGCTGTGTCTCATGTTCAAAGGACTTTATTTAGTCATAATTTGAGTCTATAAGTCGTTTCTCTATTCAAGAATTTTGTGGTTCTTTGCACTCAACTTGAGAAAAAACCTTTCGTCCAATTTGGTCCAAAAAATTAAGAACCATATCAAGACTTTAAATTGCGTTTAAAAAAGTTTTCAGTTTGAAAAAAAAGTAAAAGTACAAGGATATATTCTTAACTTTAAAAAAAATTAATGTTTTGTCAATTAACTCCTTGTATTTATGTTTTTATTCTTATTAAAAACTGCTAGGCGTCTGTCATTACTGCCATTAAGGGGACTTCCGACAAACGAAAACGAAATCTTGAAAGATGGGTGTCACGTCAATATGATTAATGTACATTTAGACAAACGTTTAAAATTGCTGTAGTCCTTTCAAACAACTACTTGATAAATAATAATATACAGGGTGTCCCACATCATATTAGATCGTCAATCAGTCTGAATTACGATTTCCGGGACTAATCAGAAAATTTAAGAAGAATGATTCATTTTGAATAATTAAATAAGGCTAATGTAAGAATTTTCTTGCGGAAAATACTATAGTTTTTTTTCGAGTATTATGGTATTCTTTTGGCGTTGAAACTTGGAGATAATCTAATCTGATATCTGTAAATTTATTATTTATTATATTCTAACCAGCTATAGGGTAAACTAAACTAAACTTCCTGATATTCTATCCAGCTTTAAGGTAAACTAAACTTTCTGATATTCTAACCAGCTGGAAGGTAAACTAAACTTTCGATGATTTTCTATCCAGCTTTAAGGAAAACTAAACTTCCTGAAAATCTATCCAGCTATAAGGTAAACTGCACTTTCTCATATTCTATCCAGCTATTAGGGTAACTACACTTCTTGATATTCTATCCAGCTATTAGGGTAACTACACTTCCTGATATTCTATCCAGCTATAAGGGTAACTACTAACTACACCTCCTGATCTATCCAGCTTGAAGGTAAACTACACTTCCTAATATTCTATCCAGCTATAAGGTAAATTAAACTTCTTGATATTCGACCAGCTATAAGGTAAACTAAACTTCCTGATATTCTATCCAGCTTTAAGGTAAACTACACTTCCTGATATTCTATCCAGCTAGGTAACCTTAACTGCTAATATACTTATCAGTTACAAGGTAAATTTAACTTCCTGATATTCTAACCAGCTAAAATGTAAACTTAACTCCCAATATTCTTTCCAGCTACAAGGTAAATTAAACTTCCTGATATTCTATCCAGCTATAAGGTTCATAAGGTAAACTTAACTTCTTAAAATGGAAAATCTATGTTAACAAAACTACAAAAAAGGCTTTTTAAGTTTCCAATCTCAATGTAATCACCAATTAATCATAATTTTAACTTACATAGACCTCCTTTGTCCAGCCCATCATATTTTGTTAATATTTTATTAACAATTTCACCTGAGAAAAAAGCAAGATAACATTTCAACCTGGAACTTATTGTTTTTCCCTCTATCTCAAAATAAAATTTTTGTCTCATGGCCAATTTCTTAGACGTTCTACCATAGAACCAGTCACACTATGGTTACGCTTTACCAGAGCAGTGTAAATAGATAGATACGAACTATTGTTGTACCTATGGTAACATGAGNAATCGTACATTAATAAATCTCCTCACATTGTTTCTGCAGCAAAAGTTCGGAAATCACTTGAATAAAACAAATTTTTTTTTCAATGATAACAGTTATGCATTCGCAATCAGACAACGGAATTAAAAAGTACCATTATGAATCTTGCATACCACTTTTTATATTAAATGTCACATGAAATTACGTCAATGTATGGTTACTTTATACAATAAAATCAAGTAAATACAGAGAAAAAAACTAACTCAATTTTCCTCAGAAATTGGTAAGTTCAATCAAAACCGGAACACATATAACTTTGTATCTAATATTATTAATCTTTTACACGTGGGCAAATAATATCCTGATATAATTGAAGTCACAAACCCAAGGAGAATGATAAATCACAGAGACTACATTTAAAAATCAAATTTCTTATCCACAACAGTACCCTTAGATCTTAAGGGAATCCTCTGGTTTCTCTAAAATGAAACGACTTGTGATTCGGATGCCGAAACAACTGAGGAAATTGTTAATTTTATACACTAATCAAGCTAGACAGACATCAAAACAAACGGGGATTACAACTTTATCTATATTTTTCTACTTTACTCGTCTTTCTATTTATACCCATTAAGCGTCAAACGGCTGAACCGATCGGGCCCAAGTTGTGTGGGGGACCTTACAACATTGGGAATGTTCATGGATACTAAAAAAATCATAAAAAATGTGTGTCCAAAATTACTTTATTTAATTGCGTAATAAAATCTTGAACTCCGCGAATTTATTTTTTGATATTGTTTTTTAATGCATAGAAAGAGAAGATGCTCATAGATAGCTAGGCACAATTAAAAGTTAAAATAGAGAATGGGCGGGATAGATATTTATCATTATAAGGGGATGATGCATTTGATATACCGTCAGAACTATGCACATCTAGCTACATTCTACACAAATTAAAAGTTTTAAATAGTTTATGCTGTCAAGCCAGGGATTACACACAAGAAGTACATTAAATAAGACAATAAATACAAAAGTTGTATTTAAAACAGATTTAAACTGTTAACGGTTTATTATAAATGAATCAACACAAAAAGATACAGTAAGATAAGAAGGAAATCCAAGAATTCTAATATTTTAACCAGGAGTGGATGGTCGAAAATGATAAACGAAATATTGAATACAATTTTAATCTTGATGCGAAGTTGGTAAACATTTTTAAAGTTCAAACAACAAAATCTATGAATATTTTATAGTTTTGAAAGGTTTAAATTAACGAAAAATAAAAAAACATTTATATTTCCAAATCAGTTTACTTTTTATCTCGATAAACCTCAGGGAGTCCCAACACTGTCACAATACAATTCCTTGAACCTTGAATTCATCCTTGCGACACCTTCTCCGTATCCTCCTTCTCCTGCTTCACGTTCACCTCCGAGAAGTTAACGTTGCCGATCTGTTGATCGTATCCTGTATCCTCCGGTTCCTCCTTCACGTTCACCTCATCACCCCCACCGTTCTCCCGCTCACGGCGCCTACGCTCACGAGAGCGAGATCTAGAGCGCTTACTCCTCTTCTTGTCACGGGAGCGGGAGCGCTTACGATCACGGGATCGGGACCGCTTTTTACGGTCCCGAGATCGAGATCGTTTCACTTTACGATCCCGTGATCTTGATTTTGAGCGCCGGCGACTGGCGTCACCGCGTTCACGGCGCCCATCGTCACGACCGGAATGACGGACGTTTACATCCGATCCACCTTTTCTAGTTCCTCCTAGACCACCACCTGAAAATATTCACTTATGAAATAGACAAGAAACACATACCCGTGAATAGGTTGATTAATCCCCTTCAGAGAATACGGTTCTGCGGGATATATTCCCCAAAAACCAACATGGCAAACTAAGGACAAATTTCTGAAAAAGAAAAGAAAAATTCACTTGCAAGACCGAAAAAATAAATTCTTCAATGGAACCTCCTTTAAACACAGAATTCAGAACAGTTCATTTCACAGGAATTTATTTAATATGAAATTCACGAGAAAAAATGTTATGAAAAAAGCAGTCCTAAAACAAGTTTATTTTTTTACCCATATATGCAAATACTTCTTTAGACCTTATCCAAGATTTGTAGATGAAAACAGTACTTTAATAATCATACAAATAGATACGATAAATATTTAAGCTTTTTAAAATACATTTAGGTGCATGTTTACCACTAGGGCTCTAAGCTTCGTCCAAGTAAATATACACTGACAGACCNTCATGACTAGATACAGATAATTTTTACGAGATAACTAATGTTGTTTTTAGACCATAAACAATATGAGCAGAGTTAAAAACATAACAACTTATCTTCATGAATAAATCCATGAATGAAGGAACAAATAAACATTATCAGCCGCAAAAAAAGACAAAAAACCCACGATTATTCAAGTTTAATTAGAATTTTTTTTTTTTCAGATTTAATAAACTGCGAGAACAATTTCAACTAATTATCTAGAGAAGACTCAGCCATACTGGAGAACTATGAGCTATGAAAAGAATTTAACTGAATTTGAAAGAACATTTTTTAAAAACTTCGCAACCAAAATATTATATAATTCACATTTTTTAGATGGTCGGAATTTCCTACCTAGTCGACGTGGCAACCAGCCCTTAACAGTCCTTCCTCGTTCAACATCGACCAGGACTCGTCGGCCGTCAATCTTCTTCCCGTCAGCGTGTTTATACGCAGCTGTAATGGACAAATAAACCTCAATTACCTGATAATACTCTAGAGGGCCGGGAGGGAAACTTTGGAAATAAGAAAAATTGTAATAGAACCTAAGCGATTCGAGATTTTTAAAGGGATTTTACAAAATTAACAAATTTTTTTAGGCCGGAAAAGGCAGAGATAATTAATTAAAAATTATGAAGAGAAAAGTTTAATTAAAAAATCGAAGTGAAATAAAAAATTTAAAAAAAGAATTTCTACAAAGACAAACTATGTTATAAAACTGGACTTTTTATTTAAATAAAAGTTGACATCGGATCATATTGCACCATTAAAAATTTAACAATATTATGATCAAGATTTTTCATTATTTATGACTATTTATACCCCCAACCCTTCCCATTTCGGTGTTTTCTTGATTCCAACAATATTTTGCGAATGTTATTCCAAAAATATTTAATCAATTTATCAAAAGATTTAGGTATATGAATGACGTTGATTTCAACAAGTAATCGTAAGTTAATTTAGTGTTGTAGACGTCTAGAAATAACGTCTAGATATTTAATACTAAGAATGAAATCCTAAAAAATAATTTTATTAAAATTCATGAAACCCTTTAGTCTGAAATGAAACCCGTAAAACTGCACAATATTATTGAAGGTTTGAAATCTGAACTAGAATCCTGAAACCCTGTGAACATTGAGTTAAGTACGGCGCTGAGTCAATATCTAGTTTGATGGTGGATTATTACCTATTCAAGCCATACCTACCCAATACTTACATATGGCTTGATATTCCTCACTGAAAAACTCTTTTTTTACCTTTTCCCGTGGGATTAAAGTTGCTCAACTCGCAATACTTACAGAATTTAAACCAATTTCTTACTTTTTTCAACCGTAGACCTTTCAGTGTGTTTAACATGCCAGCTTATTACCCATTAAACACATTGCGTGAACTCGAACATTCAGAACAGTTTATACCCAACATATTTAATTTTTTCAGAAGGTTCAATTAGTTTTTTCCTTTTTTAACAAAATGGCTGAAAAGTGGAGCAAATTTTAAAATTGAACCACAATACGCAAAGACTGGCATGTTTTGAATACAAACCTCCACCACCATACAAACCTACTTTGGAAACAGTGGACTCAAGATCAAGACCCCAAGTCTGAATCAAACAATATTAGTCAGAAATCTTTAGAATCACGGGACCTACTCTTAGCAACTTCCCTATATCTAGTCCGGACCTTTTTTATTATTATCTAAAAACCCCTTATGAACACCCAAATTGGCCTTTTAGTATTTATAATATCGCTAAACTTTTAACTAATCCTTCCTTGCGTTTTGTAAGACATTAAATTTGAACGATTTCGAGAATGTTACATATTGGCAAAGTTAAATGGAGAAAACAGGGGACGATAATGATCATGTCCGAAAATTGAAAGTTTTTGCTTATCAATCCATCCTTCAAAAAAATTGTTTAATTTTTTTTGCAAACTTTGAAAAAAATCCATCTTAGAAGACTTTTGAACTGTATTCATTCAGTCTCCAGTATAATAAGATTTGAACTAAAAAACTTTGAGATGAAACATCTACTCCACGACTTAAAATTACAATGTTTACAATTTTTTTCTATCAATTCAGATTAACCAGGAAATATTACAAATAGGCTGGAAGGTGGACATTTGATTTTAGGTTATAAGCTGGGTCTAAAGAAAGCAAAAGTAAAAAGAAACTATTGCAAACAGTTCTTAAAATCCGGAATATCTAGAAAGAGACAAACCCCGGGCCTTACATTTACCGTATGATTTTGATTCATAATCCTACCCCGCAAAAAAAATTATAAAAGATCCTGCTGTACTCCAAATATAAATGCATGAAGACCCTATATAGTAAAATATATAAATTTAGCATCTAAATTCTAATAGTAAGCAGAGTGACGAAACCATAATATCACCAAATCTAAGCATTAATATTATCATTACATATGTTCGTATCTCTACACTAACACGAGTTGCTCAATTCATCTACTACTTACTAAAATGTATCTGTTTCTATAAAGGAAAACCAATTGTTGAAAGAATCCAGGACATATTTCCACATTACTCCGAAATTTTATCAGCAGCATTAAAGGATTTTAGAGAAGAAGATATTAGAGGAAATAAGGACTAGGGCAGTATCGTCCCCTGTAGAAAATGAAAACCCCAGTTATAAAAATAAATCAAAACTTACAGTGCATATCTCTCTCGCTCTCGTACTCTATAAAAGCATACCTAAACAAAATTCAACATTACAATCAAATATTTCATGAAGAATAAAAACATGTTTTTATGAAATGAAAATTAAAAATAGCCCCAAATATTATGATTTCTTCATTGTGCATATTTTTCCTTTTAAACTACTTTATAGAAAATGTATTCGGGATACAAATTAGGCACAAAACAAAACAAAAAACAGTGCTTAAGATCCATTTCATTTTGGTGCGGACCCGGGTCTACGTCAAACATTTAATTAAGATTTACTGATTTTTTTAAAGCAAAGTAGTTTTTCGAATGCTTAATCTTCCTTATTCCGCTTATTTTCATGATAAAACTCAACGAATCGTTCAAAGAAAAGGATATTATAAATAATCTCTCTTTTTTCAACAGTTTAGAAATAGGCTTTGAAAGCAACAAGTTTTTTTTTCAGTAGATAGATATTTTGCCCCTTGGATCCGCAAATTTCAGCGGGTGCGGGTCCAGGAAGCCAAAAATGTCGAGGATCTGAATCCTAAGCACTGATAAAAAAGTATTTCTTACCCTCTTGGTTTTCCATCCTTGACATTTTGAACGATACGTATAGATTTAATCGTACCATAGGTCTCGAATTCTCGCCTAAAAAACAATGTATGAGAGAGAGAAATTAAATCTAGGGAATGTCCAGAAGCTCCGTAGTCCAACGTCCGATTACCAACGATACCATTGATATCCGTATCTTAGATTTTTTAATTATTTATTTGCAGTATTCATATAAGATAATGACTTGCAGATTTCTGTTCTACAGAAAAAATTATTAATTTTTAACACTATAAAACAAACGATATCCTACAATTTTTTTTTTAAAAAAATTGTACCCGTGTGTATCAGACATGCCACTCTTTTCTTTTAATGAGACAGTCGCTCAAGGCCGAAATATCTGTTAAAATATGTTTTCTCTTCAGAAAGAATGTTTTTAATCAGAAAGTTTAGAAGCTTCGATTAGTTATAATTTTAAAGCCGGATGGCATAATAGATAAGTGATACAAAATTCTTACCTCATTTTACTCTCACTAGTATAATAGTTAACTCGGGCTATAAACAGAGTTTTAAATGGATCTTCGGTCGTATCTTTTCCAGAATTAGGATCCCACAAGGCAATTTCCTAACAAGTACTTAAATCAGTTTATTTTGTTAGTTTTGCACAACTATAATTATGCATCGTTATTTTCCGTTTTGAAACATTCAGAGTATTAAGGCTTTAAGGAAACTTCACAAAATCTGAAAAGTAAAAAAAATTACTTTCAAACTTTTGTCTTTAAAAATTGTAAAAATTTTAATTATAGAAAAAGGTATAATCTTAAAGCATAAACGGCATATATTCTGATAAGTCAAAATTCTGCACAGTAAAATTAGAACCACGTAAGACTTAGTAGATTTTTAGTTTGGCCTCCTAGAAGCCAGAAATCCTTAATTATTAAAAAAAAGTAGATTAAAAAATATCGCCACTAACAAAGATAAAAACCCATAATGCTTGTTCCTGAGGAATCGAACCTACTAGAGCCTAAATGCGAGGTTCCTGACTAACGACTATGAACCTCTTAATACACGGCCCCTAGAAGCGAACCCCTATATGCGTGGTGCCCGAAAGTAAACCATTGTTCGCGTGGTAAGCCGCCGCGGAGGCTTTAAAAGAATGACCCCTATGAAAGCGAGTATCCTTCTAATGACTAACATAAAACCCTCTGCATTTTTAACTGCTGGATACTCAACCCCGGCAGTTCAATAGTAATTCGTAATAACAAAAATACAAAAGTAGTGGTAAAAAAATTCTAAAAAATAGCAATTCTCAAATCTAAATAAACAAGACTCGAACTTTAAAGTTTGTTGAATTAAAGAATCAATAAAATATTTTTATTTTCGGTTTCTCCATGAAAATAAAAATTAATAAATGGTTGGCGTGTATATGAATTAGTTATTATGCGAGCTCGATATCCAATATCACAACTCCATAGTATAAATATTTAACTAAAGGAATAAGGTTAATTCCGTTGATAAACTAAAAACTCAAAATATTATTAATAATAATTCTAAGAAATCACCGCTTGATGAGCATAGAAACCATCTTGAGCACTGAAGGCAGAGTTAAGATTTAATAGTTCCGCCTTCTTTTTAATATTAAGAGATTTTACTTAAATCTAAGCTTCAGGGCGCTTAAAGCACCCTTTCATTTCCTGGAAATAATTTTAGCTTCTAACTTTTGCTCTGGTCGGCCAATAAAAATAATTTGTGAATTTTTCATTTCGAATTGGGGCATTTAAAAATTAGAAAAATTACAACTATTTTTCAGGATTCACTCCCCCCCCCTGTCCCCCGATAATGATGATGTTCCATAAACCTTCATTGAGCCCAAAAAATGAGTATCGTTGAACGAAACTCCTGAGTTTCCTTTTTGGGGTCTAACATTTGTATAGATTTTGATTTAAGAGATTCCAAAAAAATGGAGAATATGATAAATTAATTAAAAAAATATTCTTAACAAAAATATTGATATCCACAAAATTGCCTAAGGTAAACCCGGATTTCAAAACTGGTTTTGATAACGATAGCCTGTTTTAAGTTTAGGGCTCTGGGGTCATGTGAGGTCCCACACGAAATTTGGACCTGATCGGTTCAGCCGGTTAGACCGTTAATACAAGCAAAGTATATAAATAGATTATAGAATAGATACCTGTTCTAGTTTGTAGGCAACCTGCTCAGTTTTCTCTTTCTTCCTTCTCTCTTTCTTTTCCTCCCGAGTCTCAACCCTGGATATGTATTATTCCGTTAAACACCTTTAAATAACTTGAATTCCGTAAATTGAATCAAAACTAACATTGACTTAGACTTGACTTCAGCCAGGGTGTGTTTTATTCCAAGGTCAACCCCCCCCCCCCCATTCAAAACTGCATTTTGGTTCCCAATATTTAGCTTTAAAAGTTAAAAATAGTTTGACAAGTTGAAAAAAATTGCAAGATTATTCATTTGCTCTTCCCCAAATCGTATATGGTTTCCTTTTCAACTTATTTTTTTACAGAATCTAGTAGATTTTCTCTTTTACAAGATAAAAATTCTATGGGTTCCCTATCAAGTATCAATTTCTGTCAGTTTATTAAGTTCAGAAGACATCGATTATATTTAGAAAAGGACTGTGAGTGAACCTCAATACATAAATGGCAATGTCCGATTTACTAAAAAGGTTTGTCTGATCAAGTATGATTAAATAATCAATGTTTAAAATTTGGAAAACTGATAAATGTGGTTTCACTTCAGAAGTAACAAGCGCGCGCATCTCTACTTTGAGAAACCGTACAGAAGTGATAAATAAACCCTTTTAAACCTAGAACAACAACAATATCTTCCACATTATTAATCAGATAAAGGTTCAAGGGTACCGTTGTGATTCTAGAATTGCCTATTTTGCACTTGTCCCTTGAATACGGGAACAGTCCCTTTAATAAAAAACTTACTCTACTGCTGCTGGAGTATCCACAGGATCCTCGAAAAGATGAACATATTGTGCAATACCTGAACAAATTCTTATAATATTTTATTAGATTAATTGAAAAGGGTTTTTGGGGGAAATTATTTAATATTCCCCTCCCCTCTCAAAAAAGAGCACCAGATCTAGAGTAATATTTTAATGCGCAAGAAGCAATATGCCTTTTTTTTGCTCATTACAGATAACCAGTTTTGTATGTGCTATACAATTGCAGCAATTTTGCAACTCGAGCTTATTTCCATTAATTAAAACAATTTATTAAAATTTAGAACGTTTTTTGTTTTGTTTTAAGGGTAATCAAATGATCTGCTTCCTTATAAGTGCATTTTTATCCGTTGGATGATTTTTAACAATTAAAACTCTTGGGGGCAATCCAATGTTGATATTTCGCATGCAGCCTTCCATTGTGGTCCCCCGATACCCGGATCAAGAATATTTGGGATCGGAGTTAATAACCTTCACCATATCAACATATTATTTCACTTTTTGGAAACAAAGTCACAAAGTAAACTAAAATCCAGTTTTTTCCTTAAAACGACTATCACATGATGCAATGCTTATATTGGGGGGCCACATCTGACATAGAACGTTTGCACCCCATTTTTTTGACCTGTATAATTAAGATGCCTATTTCTTCCACCTAATACCTGTATAGTTATGCGTGACTTTCTTCTCGTATGGTAGTTTCTCTGCAGGTGGTAGGTAGGGTATAGGGTCCCTTGGGGCAAACAGAGCTAGTAGGTTCGGGGGCAGAAACGCCGTCATTGCGTCTGAAATTTAAAAAAATAAAATTTATATAAAAAATAAAACATAACAGGTGATCATAAAAGGGTATCAAATGTGACTCTTTAAGCTCTATATAGGGATAAAAAGATTGTTATTCAATTATACACTAACAGTTAGTCAGATGCCATCTTAAATTTGCTGTCCACTCCTGGTCACCCTGGTTAACTGGTGATATCGACGTCTTGTATGTGTTCAAAAATGAGCAGTCAACCTAGTGGTGGGACTAGTGAGACAAACCTATGAAGATAGACAATCCAGATCAATTTAATTCAGACTTTAAAAATCCTTAAATGAATTGACAGGGTTGACCCCGCTACATGGTACAATATCACCCGATTAACAAGGAATACTGCTTATAAAGGCAATCTTTTATCGAATCGATCGAATACAGACCAGCGAAAAAACTTCTTTACAAATAGAGTTATACCGGTCTGGAATGTCATACTGACGGAACTTAAAAAAAGAAATGTGAAGATATTTTTGACAGGAGCCGAGTAAATAACGTTTCAAATCTGTGCTTTGAATCAAATACACTGGGAGCTAGAAAACATTGTTTGTATTTTGACTTCGCTAGCAAGGGAATTGTAATTTGCATCTGGATCTGGACTCAACAGTGAACATGTTCTAGTTCCCATTATTCCAGCTGTCCGACTGACACATTCTACTGTGAATATAGATGGTATTTGACAAGACAGATTGCGGCGAGCTCTTTTCCAAACTCGTCGAGGACGACCACGGCGTTCATCATCTTCTCCTCCTCGGTATTCTCAAATATGCTCTGAAGGGCTCCGCTATTATCACCCAACAGTTTTTTCCTGAATAAAAAATATAATATATATATATATATATAACCATGTTTATTGATAATCCGTAAAATTGTGTATTAATAAATATGAAAAACTAGACTGGACAGGTTAATAATTTTTGAGTTTTAGTTAAAAATTAGTTGGACTTAAAATCCAGTTGGATATAAGCTTTCTTCAAATTTCCGTAATGAGCTATTGGACTAGACATTAAAAGATATCGATAAACAAGGATTTTTACATCTGACATAAGAGTCCATAAAATGTAATGTCGGTTAAAAGTACTCAAAGTGTCTAATACAGTGAAACCCTTACTAAAGAATACATCAAAAGAATTCATCAAATGTCACATTCTTCACTTTCTGATAATGGAATGTTGCAAATATTTAGTTTTTAATTAAATGATTATATGGAACTCTTGCTATTTATTTATTTTCGCAAATACTGAAATTTACGTAATATAGTATAAAACTCATTGAAAAATTGTCCAAACGACATTTGATAAATTCTTCCGATGTATTCGTTATTAAGGGTTTCACTGTACTAAAATCCGTGACGAGCTGCGAACCCTAGTGTTCCAAGGAAAAATTAACCAAGCGGTGGTCAAAATCATTATAAATTGTAAGAAGAGATATATCTGCAGACAGATATGTTACAAATAAGTGGAATTATTTATTAGGAAGTCGCTGTAAGTCTTATTCGTGCAAAAACATCTTCTTCCGGGACGCTTCCAAGACCTTGCAGAGAAATTTAATAAATACGTGGATATAACGCAATCGAGTTCAGCAGCGCAAAATAATTTAAAAATCAGAATTTTTTATATTTTCTTTCATCGAAAAATCGATGATTGCAAAAACCGACACCGCACTACGGATTAAGTCGTGTCCTTACTAGACAGACATTAAATGAATTGATATTTTATTCGATGAATTATCAAGTAGGTGCATTTAGCACCGCCGTACTGCAAAAAAAGATTATGTTCAACCATGAAATAACAAAAAGACGCGCAAGTTTAGAAAATTTAATGAACTTTCAGCGGCATCGTGCCGCCAAAAAAATAAAAACGAGAGAAATAAAAATTATAAAAATGGATTGGGTAGAAGAGTTTACTACGAATTAACATAAGGAAGATGAATCCCCTAAATCGATGCAAAACAAGAAAATAAAAATACTGTCGAGGCTTACCTTGCATGAAGCATCTTCTTTGGATAGTGTTTAATACTTGAACATTTAACTGTCGCCTCGTTCATTACGCTCCTAGATAAATAAAAATGATTCGATTTAAAATCGCGTTTAAACTTTCACGTAAATCTGAGAAGTTTCACAAAATTCAAACTTGTTTTTTAAAAAATCATTTGCTTTCCTAGTCACATTTTGACCCGGAGAAATAATTAATGCAAAAAAAACTCAAAAATAGTTTATAAATTATAATTGTTAATTTTGAAAAAATGCCTTTAGAAGTACAACAATCTTTTAAAACACGAACCATGTTTTTTCTCAACAATGTGAATAAGTTACTTCATAATTATTTTTTAGCATGGCAGAATGGAAAGTTATGACAATTTTGAGATGGGACATCAGTAAATAAAATATTTACTACATTTGAAAACCTATCCACGTATTTTTTTTCTAGTACTAGATAATACAATTTCAACAACGTTGAAGACCAACTGAAGAGAAATAAAAACAAAATAATTGAAACCCCCGAGTCTTGCATGTGGGAAAACTGACCGTCGGAAAACGGTCAATCTCATATCGAAACTATTGTCAGTATGAAAAGGATTCATGTAAAGGTTGTGGTATTTATTTTCACTGACTTGAAGGGACTATGAAGGAAAAACTATGAATTCGGTTAGATCAAAGAATCTAAGTTTGAAATATTACAGATTTGCAACATCAGGTTGCAAAAATCAAACTCAATTCCTTTAAACTTATTCTAGATCTCATTCATATTTGTATCTAGAGGGTTCATGGCTAGATCAGAAAGGGGGTTCGTCCAACATTAATCACAGGACTCCTTATACTAGAGTTCATCCTACTCAATATGCCAAGGTACTGTACTGTACTGTACTGTACTGTACTGTACTGTACTGTACTGTACTGTACTGTACTGTACTGTACTGTACTGTACTGTACTATCAATAGTCATCGATTATTTTTCAATCCATTCGTTTAAAGGTAAAATTTCATAATATTTTTGATTTTGTTTAAAAAAAAATAATATTTCGCTGGCACTGGATTTTCGAACATTCCTGAAAAATATGAAAATTCGTCATCTTCATTATCAAAAATCCTATCAACAGGAATAAATTTTTTCAAAAGTAACTATCAGATCATAAAAAGTAAAAAATATTATGAAATATCAACTATATACGAATGCGTCAAAAAATAATCGATGACTATTGGTTGTAATATCAGAATGATTTGTATAGAATTAAATTGATTTATTTACGATCCGAGTTAAATATTGCAACTTTCTGAATTTGCATGGAAGCTCAAATTTTCTGGATTTTCTAACTAGCCCATGCCTCTCACTTAAGGCTGAAAGCAGGCTAAATAGGGAAGACACTTGCTTTTACAAAGAACTAGGTGTTTGTCCGTGGGTCTTAATTATTAAAGAAATTGTAAATGAACGCCTGATTAATTTTAATATTTTACATAAAATACATTGTTACCATTACAAAAGAATTCCTAAAATCCTTCATCCTTTGTTGATTTTTCTTAACGACGCCATTGTTTAAGAAAACTTTTTTGTTTTGAAATATCTAAAACAGATACTCAACTCCACTTTTTCACAATACAAATANTCTAAATAAACAATAGAAAATGTTCTAGACTTACTTTATTTAAACATATATATTGGATGGCAAATATTAAAAAAATGTGTGTAATGAGACAAATATGAAAATTAAATAATAAATATACTCAAATCTATAAAACATTCGAATGCTCCGCCACCCCCCCCCCATTTATTTACCTTGGATAAAAGGAAATTTACATCTTCTGTTTGAAGAGGATCTTCTAATTCTTCCTCTTCTTCCTCGTTCTCCTCCTCCTCCATGTCCTGCTCCTCTACAAGGATATCCTGGTCCTCCTGATCTAGGACCTCCTGCTTCTCTTCACCAAACACAAGGTGTCGAACCTGTTAGCGATATAATTAAAGGGACTGTTCGTAATTCTAAAAGACCTTTCATTTAAGAGTAGCCTATCCGACTCCCAACGGCTTTAAACTTTTGCTCTAGAAACCATGCGGAAAATACCTTAAGTTATCTATCTTAAAAATTTACAAACTCTGTCAATTTCTATTCTAGAAATTGCTGCATAAACCTTAAATCTACAAGAATTTTTTTTATAGAGAAAACGCAATTAAAATTAATAAATTCTTCTGCTCAGAAAAAGGTTTAAGTGGTATCATTGCCAAGCTGTTTAACATCTATAAATCTAAGATTACTTGAAATTACGACATTCTTGACAGGAGATAATGCTGGGAAGAAATAAAATAATAAATAAATCAATAGAAGAAAATGTTATGTAATGCTTTTCCATATAATAAGCTCTTCGCTTGTATAGCTTGCCAAACGGCTGGACCAAATTAGCTGATTTTTTTAAGAAACAATTTTTTCTTCACATTTTTTAAATAAATTCAACGGCAACGCCGCGCCTGGCACTTCAGCTAGTTATTCCTGATTTTGACTTTTTGAAAGATAATCTTTACACTGTGTCAGTTTACCAGTGACGTTATAAAATTTAGGGTTATTTTCTGCAAAAATAGATGATTAGATGTAATAAACAAGTGATTATTACGTAGAATAAGTTAAACCTCTACTCTTAAACTTTAACTGGCAGATAAGAAATGTGGTTCAACTTTTTCAACCTAGCTCAGCCAATTCAGACTATTCATTAAATTCTATTGCCGGTTTTATTTTTTAATGAAACCGGAAATATTCTGTGAAACCCTGCATTGCTCAAGAACAGTTAGAATATTTTAAAACATTGAGAAACCGGAAATATTCTGTGAAACCCTGCATTGCTCAAGAACAGTTAGAATATTTTAAAACATTGAAAAATTCAAGTTCAGGGAGAACCAGGGTCGTATTTCGGAATTACCCCCAAAACTGATATTTGGACATTAAAAGAAAAGTTTCTTTTATATCTTCTCACCAAAATCAACCCTTAAAAATCATTTTATTTCCCCAATTCAGTGAACAAAACCCCTCGATTTTTCCCCCGCTCCATGCAAACAAACCCAACTAGTTGAAAAAAAAAAAAAATATATATTTTCAACAGGGGGACCTAGGGGACGAAAGTTCCACTGGACCCGCAATATTACTAATATATAGATCCACGAATCCAGATTCAATTGACAAAATTAAACCGCAACATCGGAACAAACAACTTTGAATATCGAGTTGAGTAAGATTGTTAAAAACTTCCCTTGGGTTATCATTGAATGATACAAATAGGCCAAAACTAGATAATTAGATTTTTATGATTTTGCTAATTTTCCAATCCATTTTATACAATGTGGATTCAGGGATACCCCCTGACCCCCTGGGAAGGGAGGGGGATAATTATGAATGCTTAGGGAAAAAGGCGAACAATTTGACATTAGAATACAAATTTTCCCAAATTTTAGTTTGTTTCTTAAATTTCGCGAAAATTTCTTGAACTAACAGATTTAAAAAAAGGATTGAACCCCCCTTCCCCTCCACACACACCAAAGTTACCTGCGCTAGCCGAGAGAATATTTTTCTCAGTAGGTATCACTATACTAAATCAAAGAATTATTTGAAAAGACGATATCGAATTCGTCACTGAATTCCCATGTTTTTTGGGACACCCTGAATAAGGCTGATAGAATTTTTTTGCAGTAAATGTTAGATTTTTCGAGTATTATGTGCGTATTTTGGCGTTAAAGATTGGAGATAATCTAATATGAAATGGGACGCTCTGTAGGTCAAGCAATCAATAGAAAATAGTTAACATGATCAAACAATATTTCACATATGGACATAAAAATAATTCAAATGAGCAAAAAATAGTTCAAATGAACCAAAAATTAGTTCAAATGAGCAAAAAAATAGTCTGAATGACCAAAAAATAGTCTAAATGATCAAAAAGATAGTCCAAACGAGCAAAAAAATCGTTCAGATAAACATAAAATTAGTTCAAATGAGCAAAAAAAAGAGTTCAAAAGAGCAAAAAAATAGTTCAAATAGACAAAAAATTGTACAAATAAGAAAAAAATATTTTCAAATAATTCTAACAGATAGTTCAAATGAGTAACTTTTTTTTAGTTCATTTGAACTAAATATTATTGTTTATTTGAACCATTTTTTTGGACCCCTCTTCCCCCCCGCGCATCATTTTTGTACATGGCCTAAATTTCAGCCTGGAGCACGAAACTGTTTCCTATAAAACAGTGGTTCCAGAGGTTTCGATTGAAAAAGTGACGAGAAATTAAAATAGTTAAATAATTAAATAAAAGAAATTAAAAACTAATTATGGAGCTGGCCTGCAGTCTTTAATTATTTGTTGTACTGTTTCGAAAAATGTTAGAAAACATATTCAGAAAACAAATTACAAAATCTTTTTAACAAAACAAACAAAGAAACCAACAATAAACAAAAAAGAAGGAAAGAAGACGACAATTATTCCATTAATTTCTGTTTACTACCGTATGTTTACTACCGTATGTTTACTTACCTTCCAGCATCCTTGATATAAAGATCGTATCCTGATCCTCGGAATTCGTCAAGCCTCAGTTCATCATTGACAAGATAGAGCCACAAATTTACAATTCTGAAACAAATTCATTTCTTATCAAACTAGTCATAAGTCAACCGTTATACTAACTTTCATTTTTGTGCCTAACCAAAATTACAGTTCAACAAATAGAATTACCATTTTTCAAATATCTAGAAGTGTATTTAAATCTGCTTTTTACTGGTTATGACATACAACAACAATACTTTAGTGGGAAATAGAATAATAATATAAATAATGAAAATCCCTCCCAGTTAGAAAGACGACTGTTAGACTCAAGTTATGGTTTTAATCAGTCAAATGAACATGAAACATAGCAATAATGAAGTACACAAGGCCCATTTCACTAAACAAGTTAATTTACTAACTGCCCCACCCCCTTAAAAACAACACCAAATACACAAAAAGATGTACACTATACAGGTCCCACTGTTAAACCTGTGAATATTTGCTGGCGCCATCGTTCTACTGAGATTACTTGATTCTGGGCTTTCTTTCCCGTTGTCTTCTGAATCTTCCTAAATGCATTAGGCTTGTTTTTCTTTTCTTTCAAAATTTAACATGCAAGGCCAGGCACTTAGGCTAGTTATATATAATACATATGCTTGACAAATAAAAAGTATGCTCTTACGTTGGGTTGACTACTCAGAGACTTTGACCTTGATATTTTCCTTGACCTTTCATCCTCGACATCTGACCAGGAGCTGGCCTCGACCTCAGCTATATTATGTACACAATAACCTCGGTATTCTAAAAATATAAGTTAATAGTTTTCATTACAAATAACTACTTGGGACTGGAGAAATGAGATGAAAAAGGGTCAAAATTAAAGGAAAAACAAATTTCAAAAGGAGAAAAAAAGAAGAAATAAAAGATAAAGGGGAAAGAGAAATTGTTCAATAAGCAGAATGTCGAATAAAAGATAATTATGAATGACAAATTAAGTTTAGAGAAGAGAAATCTAAGAATAAAAGAGAATTATAAAGAAAAAGTAAAAACAAGGATGAAAAGATAGGACTGATGAGAATGATAAAAGAATAATTTACACACACAAGGATGATAACAACAGAAAATGGTTTAAACGGGAAAAAAGGGGCTGGTGGAGATGGCACATTTGATGTA